ATCTTGGTTTCATTAATACAATTTCTTCTTCTTTTTGTTCAGTTTAGTCACGTAATTTCTCAATTTACAGTAAGTTTGCCAATCGAATGTGGGGACAGACTTTTTTGCCACTCCTTTTGCCTCGTGCTTCTCAACCATACAGCTTTTCAATTCCTAATCAATCCACGGGGCCTTATCAGTTCTAACAGTCTAATTCTGAAGTGTGCATTTAAACTCTCCCCGTTATGGATTTTACAATGGTGGAAATTCCTTCCAGCCAATGCTTTCATTAAATCTAATGCATTTAAATCCATGACAGGGAGTGTGCAAGCGCACACTTTAGGAGAAGCATGGATAATCGGGACGCTGCCACAGCCTCACAACCGTGTCCATTATGAATGCATCTTATGCATCTTTATGCACATACACTGAGTGTTCAAAACATTAAGAACACTTGCTCTTTCCATGACAAATCAAATTTGCAAATAGTCCGGGTAGCCATTTGATTAGCTGTTCTTATGGCTTGGGGTTAGAAGCTGTTAAGAAGCCTTTTGGACCTAGACTTGGCTCTCCGGTACCGCTTGCCGTGCGGTAGCAGAGAGAACAGTCTGACTAGGGTGGCTGGAGTCTTTGACCATTTTTTGGGCCTTCCTCTGACACCACCTGGTATAGAGGTCCTGGATGGCAGGAAGCTTGGCCCCAGTGATGTACTGGGCCATACGCGCTACCCTCTGTAGTGCCTTGCGGTCAGAGGCCGAGCAGTTGCCATACCAGGCAGTGATGCAACCAGTCAGGATGTTCTCGATGGTGCAGCTGTATAACTTTTGGAGGATCTGAGGACCCATGTCAAATCTTTTCAGTCTCCTGAGGGGGAATAGGCTTTGTCGTGCCCTCTTCACGACTGTCTTGGTGTGTTTGGACCATGATAGTTTGTTGGTGATGTGGACACCAAGGAACTTGAAGCTCTTAACCTGCTCCACTACAGCCCCGTCAATGAGAATGGGGGCGTGCTCGAACGTTCTTTTCCTGTAGTCCACAATCATCTCCTTTTCTCTTGATCATGTTGAGGGAGAGGTTTTTATCCTGGCACCACACGGCCAGGTCTCTGACCTCCTCCCTATAGGCTGTCTCATCGTTGTCGGTGATCAGGCCTACCACTGTTATGTTGTCAGCAAACTTAATGATGGTGTTGGAGTCGTGCCTGGCCATGCAGTCATGGGTGAACAGGGAGTACAGGAGGGGACTGAGCATGCACCCCTGAGGGGCCCCCGTGTTGAGGATCAGTGTGGCAGATGTGTTGTTGCCTGCCATTAGTCCCAGGGTCCTTAGCTTAGTGATGAGCTTTGTGGGCACTATGGTGTTGAACGCTGAGCTGTAGTCAATGAACAGCATTCTCACATAGGTGTTCTTTTTGTCCAGGTGGGAAAGGGCAGTGTGGAGTGCAATGGAGATTGCATCATCTGTGGATCTGTTGGGGTGATATGCAAATTGGAGTGGGTCTAGGGTTTCTGGGATAATGGTGTTGATGTGAGCCATGACCAGCCTTTCAAAGCACTTCATGGCTACAGACGTGAGTGCTACGGGTCTGTAGTTATTTAGGCAGGTTACCTTTGTTCTTGGGCACAGGGACTATGCTGGTCTGCTTGAAACATGTTGGTATTAGACAAATTCAGGGACAGGTTGAAAATGTCAGTGAAGACACTTGCCAGTTGGTCAGCGCATGCTCGGAGTACACGTCCTGGTAATCCGTCTTAATTGTGAATGTTGACCTGTTTAAAGGTCTTACACACATCGGCTACGGAGAGCGTGATCACACAGTCGTCCGGAACAGCTGATGCTCTCATGCATGCTTCATGTTGCTTACCTCGAAGTGAGCATAGAAGAGTGATTTAGCTCGTCTGGTAGGCTCGTGTCACTGGGCAGCTCGCGGCTGTGCTTCCCTTTGTAATCTGTAATAGTTTGCAAGCCCTGCCACATCCGACGAGCGTCTGTAATTTTCATCATAGGTACACGTCAACTATGACAGACAAAATGAGGATTTTTTTTCTCCAGAAAATCACATTGTAGGATTTTTAATGAATTTATTTGCAAATTATGGTGGAAAATAAGTATTTGGTCAATAACAAAAGTTTCTTAATACATTGTTATATACCCTTTGTTGGCAATGACACAGGTCAAACGTTTTCTGTAAGTCTTCACAAGGTTTTCACACACTGTTGCTGGTATTTTGGCCCATTCCTCCATGCAGATCTCCTCTAGAGCAGTGATGTTTTGGGGCTGTCGCTGGGCAACACGGACTTTCAACTCCCTCCAAAGATTTCTATGGGGTTGAGATCTGGAGACTGGCTAGGCCACTCCAGGACCTTGAAATGCTTCTTACGAAGCCACTCCTTCGTTGCCCGGGCGGTGTGTTTGGGATCATTGTCATGCTGAAAGACCCAGCCACGTTTCATCTTCAATGCCCTTGCTGATGGAAGGAGGTTTTCACTCAAAATCTCACGATACATGGCCCCATTCATTATTTCGTTTACACGGATCAGTCGTCCTGGTCCCTTTGCAGAAAAACAGCCCCAAAGCATGATGTTTCCACCCCCATGCTTCACAGTAGGTATGGTGTTCTTTGGATGCAACTCAGCATTCTTTGTCCTCCAAACACGACGAGTTGAGTTTTTACCAAAAAGTTATATTTTGGTTTCATCTGACCATATGACATTCTCCCAATCCTCTTCTGGATCATCCAAATTCACTCTAGCAAACTTCAGACGGGCCTGGACATGTACTGGCTTAAGCAGGGGGACACGTCTCGCACTGCAGGATTTGAGTCCCTGGCGGCGTAGTGTGTTACTGATGGTAGGCTTTGTTACTTTGGTCCCAGCTCTCTGCAGGTCATTCACTAGGTCCCCCTGTGTGGTTCTGGGATTTTTGCTCACTGTTCTTGTGATCATTTTGACCCCACGGGGTGAAATCTTGCGTGGAGCCCCAGATCGAGGGAGATTATCAGTGGTCTTGTATGTCTTCCATTTCCTAATAATTGCTCCCACAGTTGATTTCTTCAAACCAAGCTGCTTACCTATTGCAGATTCAGTCTTCCCAGCCTGGTGCAGGTCTACAATTTTGTTTCTGGTGTCCTTTGACAGCTCTTTGGTCTTGGCCATAGTGGAGTTTGGAGTGTGACTGTTTGAGGTTGTGGACAGGTGTCTTTTATACTGATAACAAGTTCAATCAGGTGCCATTAATACAGGTAACGAGTGGAGGACAGAGGAGCCTCTTAAAGAAGAAGTTACAGGTCTGTGAGAGCCAGAAATCTTGCTTGTTTGTAGTTGACCAAATACTTATTTTCCACCATAATTTGCAAATAAATTCATAAAAAATCCTACAATGTGATTTTCTGGAGAAAAAAATTCTCAATTTGTCTGTCATAGTTGACGTGTACCTATGATGAAAATTACAGGCCTCTCTCATCTTTTTAAGTGGGAGAACTTGCACAATTGGTGGCTGACTAAATACTTTTTTTCCCCACTGTATTCCAGTCTGTGCTAGCAAAACAGTCCAGTAGCTTAGCATCTGCTTCATCTGACCACTTCTTTATTGACCAAGTCACTGGTGCTTCCTGCTTTAGTTTTTGCTTGTAAGCAGGAATCAGGAGGATAGAATTATGGTCAGATTTGCCAAATGGAGGGCGTGGGAGAGCTTTGAACACGTCTCTGTGTGTGGAGTAAAGGTGGTCTAGAGTTTTTTTTCTTCTGGTTGCACATTTAACATGCTGGGAGAAATTAGGTAAAACGGATTTAATTTTCCCTGCATTAAAGTCCCCGGCCACTAGGAGCGACTCCTCTGGATGAGCGTTTTCCTGTTTGCTTATGGCCTTATACAGCTCATTGAGTGCGGTCTTAGTGCCAGCATCGGTTTGTGGTGGTAAATAGACAGCTATGAAAAATGTAGATGAAAACTCTCTTGGTAAATAGTGTGGTCTACAGCTTATCATAGTGTGGTCTACTCTACCTCAGGCGATCAAAACCTCAAGACTTCCTTAATATTAGATTTCGTGCACCAGCTGTTTACAAATATACACAGACCGCCACCCCTTGTCTTACCAGAGGCCGTTGTTCTATCTTGCCGATGCTGCGTAAACCCCGCCAGCTGTATGTTATTCATGTCGTCTTTCAGCCACAACTCGGTGAAACATAAGATTTTACAGTTTTTAATGTCCCGTTGGTAGGATATTCGTGATCGTAGCTCGTCAATTTTGTTGATTGTTCGTTGGCTAATAGGACTGATGGAAGAAGCGGATTACCCACTCGCTGATGGATCCTTACAAGGCACCCCGACCTACGTCCCCGATATCTCTGTCTTTTTCTCCTGCGAATGACCGGGGATTTGGGCCTTGTCGGGTGTCTGAAGTAAACTGACCAGATGAATGCAGGTGAAAGCTATGATCCCTTATTGATGTCACTTGTTAAATCCAATTAAATCAGTGTAAATGAAGAGGAGGGGAGACAGGTTAAAGAAGGATTTTTAAGCTTGAGACTATTGAGACATGGATTGTGTATGTGTGCCATTCAGAAGGTGAATGGGTAAGACAAAAGATATAAGTGCCTTTGAACGGGATATGGTAGTAGGTGCCAGGCGCACCGGTTTGTGTCAAGAACTGCAACGCTGCTGGGTTTTTAACGCTCAACAGTTTCCCGCGTGTATCAAGAATGGCAACCCCACCCAAAGGACATCCAGCGAACCTGACACAACTGTGTGAAGTATTGGAGTCAACATGGGCCAGCATCCATGTATAACGTTTCGACACCTTGTAGAGTCCATGCACCGACGAATTGAGGCTGTTCTGAGGGCTAAAGAGGAGGGGTGCAATGCAATATTAGGAAGGTGTTCTTAATTTTTTGTACACTGTGTATATCTGGAACAAATTGATTTCAAATGTATTGGTAAGTAAATGAGTGGGATTAGTATGTTTTGCAGTGTATATGAAAAGGTGCAGTCCCGAGTCTTTAGTTATTTTTGTCTGTTCCCAGATGGTGAGGATGAGCACGGGTCACATGGAGGGGGACCTGCAGCCTCTCTACCTGCTGCTGACTGACTGTTACATCTACCTGCTGAGGAAAGGTGAGCGTTTACTGCTCACCACGCTCTCAGATAAGGCTGAACGATTTTGGAAAATAATCTAATTGCGATTTTTTGCCCCCAATATTGCGATTGCGATTTAATATGCGATTTAATTTATTTATCCTTTTTCCCCTACAAAACATAATGAATGATTTAAATATGACCAACACAATAGTATATACATTTAGTGTGAAATGTTCTTTCCCATAGGCTGGGTCTATTTGTTAGAATTAAATTCAAACATGTATGACTTGAAATAAATGACATTTTTATTGAACTGCTCATTACAGAAACATCTGTGGCTTTGCCACTGTGCATTTAAATAATTTAAACAAAGGCATGAACTTTGTAAACACTGTGTGCAAAAGGTACAGTCTTAAGAAAAAAATAATTTTAAATTGTATGTATCTTACTGCTCCCAAGTCAGTAACATTTCACACAACTGAAACAAGGAATTTGCTTTGAAAATATTTTGTAAAATCAAAGTAAATAAAGTTATAAATAAAAAATGAGAAATGCACTTTTAATTTAGACAAACTATTTTTTATAAACGATTTGAATATTATAATATAAAATAGATGAGCCTCACTTATCTCAAGTACACAACAATAACACACCACACAGACTAAAGTTCACTACGAGTATGGCACTGCCAGCCATACTTATCCAACAGTTCTGTTCTCAGTGGCTCACAGGTTTTTTGCTAAGAAAACCAGAATATTGACTTTTTCTGGCTTCAAGGCTGAGCGAGTGCAAGTCACAATATTCCCTCCTGTGCTAAAAAGACGCTCTGAGGGAGCGCTTGTAGCAGGTACACAAAGATACCTGCTACTTGTCTCCTGAGTGGCGCAGTGGTCTAAGGCACTGCATCGCAGTGCTAACTGTGTCACTAGAGATCCTGGTTCGAATCCAGGCTCTGTCGCAGCCGGCCGCGACCGGGAGACTCATGGGCGGCGCACAATTGGCCCAGCGTCGTCCAGGGTAGGGGAGGGAATGGCCGGCAGGGATGTAGCTCAGTTGATAGAGCATGGCGTTTGCAACGCCAGGGTTGTGGGTTCGATTCCCACAGGGGGCCAGTATAAAAAAAAATATATATATATATATGTAAGTCGCTCTGGATAAGAGCGTCTGCTAAATGACTGTAATGTAATGTAATGTAATGTAAGATACTTGCGTGCCATGGTGCACAACTGTGGGTAGCTGATCTTGTGCACCCTCCACCAAGCCAATGGATCATCTTCTCCATCAATGGTAGGAGTCGTCAGGTAATTGTTTATCTCTGCCTCTGCGACATCTTCAAGATTTACAGGCAAAGAAGGAGAGGCTGAACTGGTCTTGAAAAAAACTGCCAAGAGACCTCTTCGTCTTTTCCCCCAAGGACTGTGCACTTTGAGGCATCTGAACAGTTTCAGTACGAGACCTCTTCTCCTATTAGATGAAAACAACAGCCATTAGTTTTCCAGTTAGATTTTACAGAAAATTTTTGTTTTTGTGAAATACATAATTATTTACCCAATGATATGTACGTTGTGCCAAGTCTACTATCTCTGTCTTCAGACGAGTCTTGATAGCAGGGATGTTGTCTGTACTGATGTACTGTATTTTGAACCTAGGGTCCAGGAAACAGGCAACATCCAAAAGCTCCTGGATGTTTGGGTCTCCATATTTGTTATTGAGGTATGCTAGGACTTTGGTTTTTATTGATTTAGTCAGGTCAGTGTCCTCAGCATCTTCAGCCAGGACTGATGTGGCAAAAAGGTGGAGAACTGGCTTGAGGTAGGAGATGCTTACATACTCCTCTCCAGAAAGAGCATCAGTAAACTCCAGTAGAGGATGCAGTGCCTTGTGAATCGACTCCAACACGTCAATATCCTGCCAGGTTGGGATAAGGGAGCGTGCATATCGATCTCCAGACAATACCTGAGAAATGGCTTTGGCCTGTTCAAGCACTCTGGCAATCATCATTTCTTTAGAACCCCATCTTGTTGGGCACTCCGTTATGAGGTTGTGCTCAGGGAGTTTGAGCTCTCTCTGTGCCTCCGTCAGGGCTGCTTTCTTCTTCCAACTGTGGGAAAAGTGCCCCACCAGCTTCCTGCACAGTGCTGTTGCCCTTGACACTCTGTCATCTTTGAGTGCATTTTCTAAAAGAAATAAAAAGTAGTGTATTACACACAATTTGAGTTTTGATACAAGGCTCTCACTATTACACACTCAAATTAGCTGTAATTCTGAAATACACACATCCACAACACATCCTCTCTCTCTCTCTCAATTCAAAGGGTCTTTATTTGCATGTCAATTCTCTCTCTCTTTCTCTCTCTCTCTCTCTCATAAACACTAAAAAAACATGTAAAAAACAAAAACAAGAAAAGAAAAAAAATGCAGGTGGGCATTCCACCACAGACAGACATATGATATAAGCAAGTAAAATGAATTTACATATTAGAAAAGGAGTGGAAGTATGAATTTATTTAATCCCATCCGATTTATATAATATCATTTATATATATTTGTATATTCAGCTTTACTAATCGACGCATCTCTCTCTCTCGCACTCGCGCGCACACACACACACACACACACACACACACAAACACACACACACACACACACACACACACACACACACACACACACACACACACACACGATAACTTACCAATGGCAAGATGTAATCTGTGGCCAAAACATTGGAGCCTCGTCCATTCATTAAGCCGCGCAGCAAGCACCATATTCGACGCGTTGTCCGTCGTGATGCAGACGTGATTCTCCTCGTGGAGATCCCAGCTGACAAGCCCTTCTCTCAGGCCGGCTGCAATATTTTCCCCTGTGTGATCGTCTGGGAAGTAGGTAGTTTGTAGGCAGCGAGCTCGGAGGTTGAAATCTTCATCAATAAAATGGACTGTAAGACTCTGGTACGGCTCAGCTGTGCGGCTTGACCACATATCAGTAGTGCTAGCAAAAAACTCCACCGTTTTAAGTTCCGCGGCGACTTTCTCTTTGCACTTTTTGTACAGCTCCGGTATGGCAGTCTGACTGAAGTATGTGCGGGAGGGTATACTGTAACGTTTATCAAGCGTATGTATTAATGCCATGAACCCAGGCTTGGTCACCGTGCTGAGAGGCATCATATCTTTGGCTATGAACTCGGTTATTGTCCGAGTGATTTCTCCGTGCCGTTTTGAATTACGTTCATACGGAGTGACACTTTCGAACATTTCTGTCAGTGATCCCTGTCTTGAGGTATTTGGCTTGTCTCGCGCACTGATGCTCGGCATTTTGGTCATACAACTGTCATGCATTGATTTGTGGTACTTTTTTAAGTGCTGAAACAGGTTTGTAGTGTTACCCCGTGAAGTAGCAATCGGAGCACGGCATGCTCTGCACAACACCTGACGCTGCTCAGCATCTTCTTTTTTAAAACCAAAATAGTTCCACACCACCGACGTGCTGTTCCTCTTCGATATTAAAGTATCAGCTGTGTCAGTTTCTGACTGTTCCGTCGAGCAAGAGGCCATTGCGCTGGACAGCATGAAAAGTCGCGTCACGTGACCACCTCAAATCGCGCACGTTGCGATTAGAAAATCGCGTTCAGTCAAATCGCGATATTATCGCGAATGCAATTAATCGTTCAGCCCTACTCTCAGATACTCTTTATTTCTGTATCTCTCTAATGGTGGGTCCCGTGTGGCTCAGTAGGTAGAGCATGGTGCTTGCAATGCCAGGTTTGTGGGTTCAATTCCCACAGTGGGACCAGTACAAAAATGTATGCACTCTCTACTTACTGTAAGTCTCTGTAAGTATTAGATTTACATTTGGTGATGGCTTTTGACTTTGCTTGTCATGCTGTGTCTCTCGCTCTTTCAGGTGCTGCGGAAAAACCCTATACAGTAGAGGATGCCATCTTTTACAATGAGTTGGACTATGTATCTGTGAGTTGTCTATACTGCTGGGCTATCTTGTCTAGTGATTGTCATTGTTGTTTCTTGTAATGTCACATAGTTGTATTTTCTGCAAGGGCGCTATAGTTTTTCTTCAAGGTTAGCTTGAAGGTTGTCTTGGTCAATGTTTAGCTTCAGGGTAATGCTAGATCCTTAAATCACAAGGTTCATGAGGTTAGATGGTTCATGAGTTTACTAGGTTCAGGTCGTTCTAGTCGTTGTTTATGTGAATTCCAACATGGCCAACAATCACGCAACCAATTTGAAAGCCATTGTCTCTGTGACTGTCTGTCATTCAACTTCAACATGTTCAAAAACAAATTGTCGGTCTTATATGGACAAATGTGTAGCGGCTGCAATTTAACAAAGTAAAAGCCCAATTCTTATTTTATGGATTACAGTTATGGAATTGATTTTCCAAATAGTGTGGATGCCACCATATAATTTTAGGCTATGAAGCACTTTGGGCTGTATAATGGAAGTGCATGAAAGAAGCCTTAACAATTTAAAAGTTGGCTTTTATATAGCACATTTGCTTCAAGACCATCACCTAAAAAGCTGATTGACAGAAGAAGGAAAACAACAAGAAGGAAGAGTTATTGTCAATGTCCAGTCCGCTCAGTTGTGCTGTGATATTGTCCCTGTCCGTCTCTCAGGTGGGCGTGGACCAGCAGACGATCATGCTGGTCTGCACCAACAGACGACGCCAGTTTCTCCTGGACACAGCCGACTCCTCGTTGACTATGTGAGTGCTTCCTCTCCTCTGCCCTGCTCTCCTTCTCCCTGGCGGCATCTCCATAGTCTAAAGTGGCATCTTCTCCCATTTCCTTTCCTCCATCTGCTCTGACACTAAAGTGCTGGACCGGGAAAGCAAGTTCCTAGTTGGCATGCTCTCACGTAGCTCATGTTTTCATATCAGAATGGATGAAGGAGAGGAGACCAGTAGAAGAAGTCACTCTTTATCCCTCCCTCTCTTTTCTAATCCAGCATGCTCTCTTTTTCTTTATCTCTCGATCCTCCAGCTGGTTCCTGGCAGCCCTGAAGTCAGCCATGATAAAGGGGTGCAGGGAGCCTCCTTACCCCTCAGTGCTGACCGACGCCACCATGGAGAAACTAGCCCTCACTAAGTTTGTCTCCCAGGAGTCTCATTGTAAGGTGAGGAACACAGAGATCTAGCTAGGCCTGCACACTTCCATAATTTCTCAGGCGCAGTCATGTAAAATGAAAGACAAATGTCATGTTGAAAAATGCCTGGATACTGATTTATGCTAAGAAGTGAAGTATTATTTTGATTGGAATAAAATTACAATAGGCACTTAACCCTCATCAATTATGGATTACATCTGATGGAGTGGTTATATGCATCAGTCATAGGCATAGCCATGACTAGCCGTAGACATCACTAGCTCAGTCATATGTGTTCTACAGTATATATACTCAACACATGTACAACAATGAGTAATAGACAAATTATAGAATTGTTTATTGACACTGTGTGTCTCTGTAGGTGTCTGAAGTGGTCATCCGCATGTATTCTTTGGTCCACTGGGAGGACCCCATGGATGTGACTCTGGCCCCCCAGACAGCCTTGGTGGGTGCTGGGGACTCCTCCAGCACAAAAGAGGGCCCCCTACTCTACAGAGCAGGCACCACCTACCTGGGCAAGGAGCTGTGGAAGAGCTGTTACCTCGTACTGAGGTATGTATGGGCAGTCATAGGCTTTTAGTGGCGCAATATTCAGAAATTGCTCCGCCGTTGCCTGGTTTCCCTTATTTTAGTTTATGTGACAAAACAAGTAATGTATAGTGTAGAGAATCATTGTACCATCTAAACTGCTGTGAAATATATTTTCAATAGCCAAAAATATAGTATTTTCAGCTATTTGAAGCCGGTGTACAAAACTTAAGGACGGGAAGCATAGAAATAGCGCACATTGAACGGATCTACCACTTATCAGACTCTCTTTCGTTCAGAATGATACATCTATAACTCACATTTCTATGTGAATTTGTTTGGGTCGCCCACAAAGCTACAGATTGCGCCTTTAATATAAGCAATCAAATTTCAATCAATCAAATGTATTTATAAAGCCCTTTTTTACATCAGCAGATGTCACAAAGTGCTTATACAGAAACCCAGCCTAAAACCCCAAAGAGCAAGCAATGCAGATGTAGAAGCACGGTGGCTAGGAAAAACTCCCTAGAAAGGCAGGAACCTAGGAAGAAACCTAGAGAGGAGCCAGGCTCTGAGGGGTGGCCAGTCCTCTTCTGGCTGTGCCGGGTGGAGATTATACGAGTACATGGCCATTAAGGCCAGATCGTTCTTCAAGATGTTCAAACGTTCATAGATGACTAGCAGGGTCAAATAATAATCACAGTGGTTGTAGAGGGTGCAACAGGTCAGTAAATGTCAGTTGGCTTTCATAGCCGAGCATTCAAAGGTCGAGAGAGGGAGAGAATTAAAGGGAGCATACTTAAGTTCACACAGGACACCAGATAAGACAAGAGAATTACACCAGAGAGGACAGACTGACCCTAGCCCCCTGGCACATAGACTATTGCAGCATAGATACTGGAGATTGAGACGGGGGGGGACACTGTGGCCCCGTCCGACGATACCCCCGGACAGGGCCAACCAGGCAGGATATAACCCCACCCACTTTGCCAAAGCACAGCCCCCACACCACTAGAGGGATATCAACAGACAACCAACTTACTACCCTGAGACAAGGCTGAGTATAGCCCACAAAGATCTCCCCCACCGCACAAGCCCGAGGGGGCGCAAAACCGAACAGGAAGATCACGTCAGTGACTTAACCCACTCAAGTCGAGTACAGCAAAAAAAGCGTGGCACGACTTGACGCACCCCTCCTAGGGACAGCATGGGAGAGCACTAGTAAGCCAGTGACTCAGCCCCTGTAATAGGGTCAGAGAATCCCAATGGAGAGAGGGGAGCCAGCCAGGTAAAGACAGCAAGGGCAGTTCGTCACTTCAGTGCCTTGCCGTTCACCTACGCACCCCTGGGCCAGACTACACTCAATCATAGGACCTATTGAAGAGATGAGTCTTCAGTAAAGACTGACGTTTGCATTGTTTTCTGATGATGTCAGTTTATGTGTCTTTGTGAAGAATGCTAACAGGTGTAGATAGTGCCACGGCCAGTTCGCCACTGAGTGTGTTGACGAAACTTATGTTACTAGCCTGAGTTATAATACTCTACACCGCCATTCATTTTTACATTGTGAATTTTACAAATTCTAATTGTGTGATTGGTGTAGGCTTACCCTTGGCCTGACGTTTTTGATAGCCGTGTGGTTCTCTCTCGGACAAGTTGGGAGTTCCCTGTCAAGAGGAGAGACACGGAGGTCCGGCTGGCTTAGCTAGCCTGGAGCCTCAAATGGAGGATGCTAACAAACGTTTTCAATGCTGCAGTAGCTGTGTTTATTTAGAATTTTTCTGGGACAATGTGGACCGCCCTGACTTTCAATGTAGCAACTGTTTGCTTGCAGAGGGCTACAGGGGCGAGGTGGCTACTCTAAGCAAACAAGTAGAGAAGCTACACATTTTACATTTACATTTTTTGTCATTTAGCAGACGCTCTTATCCAGAGCGACTTACAGTTAGTGAATACAATTTTTTTTTATTTTTTTTTAATTATTATTATTTTTTTTTTTTTATACTGGCCCCCCGTGGGAATCAAACCCACAACCCTGGCGTTGCAAACGCCATGCTCTATCAACTGAGCTACATCCCTGCCGGCCATTCCCTCCCCTACCCTGGACGACGCTGGGCCAATTGTGCGCCGCCCATGAGTCTCCCGGTCGCGGCCGGCTGCGACAGAGCCTGGATTCGAACCAGGATCTCTAGTGGCACAGTTAGCACTGTGATGCAGTGCCTTAGACCACTGCGCCACTCAGGAGTTAAGCCTACACAAGCTACTGGGGAATCCACGCCCGCCTACTTCTTCTTTCGCTTCTACTCCAGTAGCCGGACGCTGCTCTGGCCTGGTGGAAGTGTCGCTGCCATATCGGCTCTCCACAGCCGACTAGCCGGTACTCTGTGCTGATCTCTCCCCGAAGGGGTCTCCCCCTTCCCTGGAGAATGGAGCTAGCAGGATGCTTCCGGCTGGATGACTTGGTGGATGTTCCTGTTCCTAATTGTACCAACCAGCCATGGAGATATGTCACTCGCCGTGGAAGTCGAAACAGCGCCCCTGGCAACGGGGGCCTCCTTGGAGATGTTAAGCCTGGACCAGACACAGACCAGAAACTGCTTCACCGCCATGGATCCAGAGGTTCTGGCGCCTTCTTCCCTGGGGGCTTCCGATTCGAGATCGGATCCGGAGGTACCTGCGCTTTTGTCCTCTGTTCTGTCTCCCTCTCCGGTGGCTTCTACCTCGGGTTCAGATCCTCAGAGCTCCCACCCTCATCAGACCTGTCTCAGGCTGTCTGAGACTCCGGCCCATTCATCATCCACGATGTATACTACAGCTGGCTCGGGTCCATCGGGCCCCACCGCCCTTCGGTCCTCGAGGGGTTTGCGAAACCACTCGAGACAAAAGAATGGCCAGACCTCCTCAGCCATTGCACCAGCTGTCGTCATCGTCAGTTCTATTGTAAGAAACATATTGGTTCCCAGGGCAAAAACCCTGTGCTATCCTGGAGCATGAGTACAGGACATTATAGGGCTGCTTCCTACCGTTCTACGACAGATGCCGGGAGCTGATGCTGTCATCGTCCATGTGGGGTCAAACGACATTAGGACTCGGAACTTCTGAAAATGGAAGAAGCGGCCAATTATTTCAGGTCCGGTACCATCGTTGGGCCATGGGTGTGAAAGAATACACACCTGGCTAAAATATTACTGTAGCTCTGTTGGAATCACTTTTATAGATAACTTTGACACCTTCTGGAAACAGAATATGCTCTATAGGAATGACTGAGTCCATCCAAATAATCTTGGCTCCTGGATTCTGTCCACGCATTTCAAGGCTGCGTTGAGAAATGACTTATCAATGACCCAATACCAGCTCAGTTAATCCCTACCGTTGTGCTGCTGAGTTGTCATAATGCTACAGCAAATTTACATTATCCTAGCGGTGTTGGTAGACACAATGTAAGTAACTTAATTTATGTCCCTCTCACTGCCCTAAATGCCTCTGTTGATCCTACAGCTATTGTATGCAGTAATCATGTCCCTGTGAACCAGCGTTATACTGTTAGCACTGAGGCGGTGTGCCCTAGTAGGAAGTCCACTGTGTGCATCTCATCCTGCACTATCAGCTCAAACATAACTAACATGTACTTCTGATAACCTTCCCAGTAAAGCAATGAAAACAATCAAGCATCCCAGAAAAGTGCTAAAAATAGCCCACATTAACATATGTAGCCTAAGAAACAAGGTTCATGAAATTAATAACTTGCTAGTAAAAGATTACTTTCTCTGAAACGCACTTAGATAATACCTTTGAGACAGTGGTAGCAATACATGATTATAACATCTACAGAAAAGACAGAAATGCCAATGGGGCGGTGTTGCGGTCTATGTTCAGAACCACATTCCTGTAAAGCTTAGAGAGGATCTGATGTTAAATACTGTGGAAGTATACTGAACAAAAATATAAACGCAACATGCAACAATTTCAAATATTGTGCTGAGTTACAGTTCATATGAGGAAATCAGTCAATTGAAATACATTAATTAGACCCTAGCTATGGATTTCACATGACTGGGAATACAGATATGCATCTGTTGGTCACAGATAGCTTAGAAAAAAATGGGCCTCAGGATCTTGTCACTGTATTTCTGTGCATTGAAATTGCCATCAATAAAACACAATTGTGTTCGTTGTCCGTAGCTTATACCTGCCCATACCATAACCCTACCACCACCATGAGGCACTCTGTTCACAACGTTGACATCAGCAAACCGCTCGCCCACACGAGGCCATACACATGGTCTGCGGTTGTGAGGCTGGTTGGACGTACTGCCAAATTCTCTAAAACGACATTGGAGGTGGCTTATGGTAGAGAAATGAACATTACGTTCTCTGGCAACAGCTCTGGTGGACATTACTGCAGTCAGCATGCCAATTGCACTCTCCCTCAAAACTTGAGACATTGTGGCATTATGTTGTGTGACACAACTGCACATTTTAGTGGCCTTTTATTGTCCCCAGCACAAGGTGCACCTGTGTAATGACCATGCTCTTTAATCAGCTTCTTAATATGCCACACCTGTAAGAAGATGGATTATCTTGGCAAAGGATAAATGCTCACTAACAGGAATGTAAATAAATGTGTGCACAAAATTTGAGAGAAATAAGCTTTTTGTGCGTATGGGAAATTTCTAGGATATTTTATTTCAGCTCATGAAACACGGGACCAACACTTTACATGTTGCATTTATATTTTTCTTCAGTGTAATATGGCTACAGATTAATCTGCCTCACCTAAAGCCCATTCTTGTGGGAAGCTGCTATAGACCACCAAGTGCTAACAGTCAGCTTCAAACTGAAACCAGTGCAACCTGGTTCACGTTATTTGTCAAACTACCAGGGTAGTTACAAACAGCACAGGAATGAAATCATCAACATATATTGATCACATCTTTACTAATACTGCAGTAATTTGCTTTAAAGTAGTATCCAAATCCATCGGATGTAGTGATCACAATATAGTAGCCATATCTAGGAAAACCAAAGTTCCAAAGGCTGAGCCTAATATAGTGTATAAGTGGTCATACAATAAGTTTTGTAGTGATTCCTACAGTGGGGAAAAAAAGTATTTAGTCAGCCACCAATTATCCCACTTAAAAAGATGAGAGAGGCCTGTAATTTTCATCATAGGTACACGTCAACTATGACAGACAAATTGAGAAGAAAAATCCAGAAAATCACATTGTAGGATTTTTAATGAATTTATTTGCAAATTATGGTGGAAAATTAGTATTTGGTTTCTCAATACTTTGTTATATACCCTTTGTTGGCAATGACACAGGTCAAACGTTTTCTGTAAGTCTTCACAAGGTTTTCACACACTGTTGCTGGTACTTGGGCCATTCCTCCATGCAGATCTCCTCTAGAGCATTGATGTTTTGGGGCTGTCGCTGGGCAACACAGACTTTCAACTCCCTCCAAAGATTTTCTATGGGGTTGAGATCTGGAGACTGGCTAGGCCACTCCAGGACCTTGAAATGCTTCTTACGAAGCCACTCCTTCGTTGCCCGGGCGGTGTGTTTGGGATCATTGTCATGTCTGAAAGACCCAGCCACGTTTCATCTTCAATGCCCTTGCTGATGGAAGGAGGTTTTCACTCAAAATCTCACGATACATGGCCCCATTCATTCTTTCCTTTACACGGATCAGTCGTCCTGGTCCCTTTGCAGAAAAACAGCCCCAAAGCATGATGTTTCCACCCCCATGCTTCACAGTAGGTATGGTGTTCTTTGGATGCAACTCAGCATTCTTTGTCCTCCAAACACGACGAGTTGAGTTTTTACCAAAAAGTTCTATTTTGGTTTCATCTGACCATATGGCCTGGACATGTACTGGCTTAAGCAGGGGGACACGTCTGGCACTGCAGGATTTGAGTCCCTGGCGGCGTAGTGTGTTACTGATGGTAGGCTTTGTTACTTTGGTCCCAGCTCTCTGCAGGTCATTCACTAGGTCCCCCCGTGTTGTTCTGGGATTTTTGCTCACCGTTCTTGTGATCATTTTGACCCCACGGGGTGAGGAGCCCCAGATCGAGGGAGATTATCAGTGGTCTTGTATGTCTTCCATTTCCTAATAATTGCTCACACAGTTGATTTCTTCAAACCAAGCTGCTTACCTATTGCAGATTCAGTCTTCCCAGCCTGGTGCAGGTCTACAATTTTGTTTCTGGTGTCCTTTGACAGCTCTTTGGTCTTGGCCATAGTGGAGTTTGGAGTGTGACTGTTTGAGGTTGTGGACAGGTGTCTTTTATACTGATAACAAGTTCAAACAGGTGCCATTAATACAGGTAACGAGTGGAGGACAGAGGAGCCTCTTAAAGAAGAAGTTACAGGTCTGTGAGAGCCAGAAATCTTGCTTGTTTGTAGGTGACCAAATACTTATTTTCCACCATAATTTGCAAATAAATTCATTAAAAATCCTACAATGTGATTTTCTGGATTTTTTTTCCTTAATTTGTCTGTCATAGTTGACGTTTACCTATGATGAAAATTACAGGCCTCTCTCATCTTTTTAAGTGGGAGAACTTGCACAATTAGTGGCTGACTAAATACTTTTTTTCCCCACTGTATGTTGATGATGTGAAGAATATTTGCTGGTCTGGTGTATGTAATGATGAGCAACCAGACGCTGCACTTTTATGCAATTGCTTATTCCAGTTACTAATAAGCATACATCCATTAAGCAAAGGACTGTAAAAAAACGGTTAAATCCCCTTGGATTGTTGAGAAATGTATGGTTGAGAGGGATGAGGCAAAAGGAATGGCAAATAAGTCTGGCTGCACAACCGTTTGGCTGCACAACCGTTACAGAGGCCAATTATCAGCAACCATCAGTCCTGTGTTCCAATGGCATATTGTGTTTGCTAATCCAAGTTTATCATTTTAAATGGCTAATTGATTAGAAAACCCTTTTGCAACAGCTGAAAACTGTTGTGCTGATTAAAGAAGCAATAAAACTGGCCTTGAGACTAGTTGAGTATCTGGAGCATCAGCAATTGTGGGTTCGATTACAGGCTCAAAATGGCCAGAAACAAAAACCTTTCTTCTGAAACTCGTCAGTTTATTCTTGTTCTGAGAAATGAAGGCTATTCCATGCGAGAAATTGCCAAGAAACTGAAGATCTCGTACAACGCTGTGTACTACTCCCTTCACAGAACAGCGCAAACTGGCTCTAACCAGAATAGAAAGAGGAGTGGGAGGCCCCGGTGCACAACTGAGCAAGAGGACAAATACATTAGTGTCTAGTTTGAGAAACAAACACCTCACAGATCCACAACTGGCAGCTTCATTAAATAGTACCCACAAAACACCAGTCTCAACGTCAACAGTGAAGAGGCGACTCCGGGATGCTGACCTTCTAGGCAGAGTTGCAAAGAAAAAGCCATATCTCAGACTGCCCATCTTAATCTTTTCTTTTTATTGGCCAGTCTGAGATATGGCTTTTTCTTTGCATCTCTGCCTAGAAGGTCAGCGTCCCGGAGTCGCCTCTTCACTGTTGACGTTGAGACTGGTGTTTTGCGGGTACTTTTTTCATTGGCAAGATTAACAGATTTAGGCATGACATGCCAGCAACAAACGCTGACACTACACATCCAAGTATATCTGACCAAAGTATGAATGACAAGCATTGTCATTTTGAATTCCGTAAAGTAAGTGTGGAAGAGGTGAAAAAATGGTCTATCAACAATGACAAGCCACCGGGGTCTGACAACTTGGATGGACAATTACTGAGGATAATA